AATTTGATACGATCGATGGAGATCGTGATCCGCTAAGGAACAATCGTTCTAATTGATCCATATCCATTTCTTCTAAAATTGTTTCGACATTCTTGGACTTGAGCGTTGGACATTAAAAATGTACAACATTGGATGGGGTAACAAAATAAGAAATAATTGAATGTATATTGGCGACAAAATTACGAAGGTAACCCCAACTCGGCTCATTACTCTTGGCTAGTGAACCTCAAAGGCATAATAGTAATTTGTAATATGGGTTAATTCCATACCAATATAAATTCTAAAACAGCACAAGGTTTTTAAGATTTGTAGATCATAACTCTTTTTCTTAATTTTGTCTGCAAATTTTTAGCATACGTATGCACATACGTACATACTATCCAAAAGCAATCCGGTTTACTATTTATAAGGATATATCGATATCTGACTCCTGATGCAGAATTGCTTCATACTGATTACTTAACATCACTGTGCATCAGTTTTTGGAATTATAATTCTGTAATTGTACCAAGCGATTTAAATGCTAATACTGTATTGACTCATGATTAGGATTCTATTAAAAATTTTTTAGTTGTTATTTCTTTGAAGTAGTAATACGACGTTTGATATTCATGAATAAATTTTCTCTAATCCTTAGTAAGAAAAACACTAATGCATTACATGCATGTAAGATCCTCGTGTGGAGTGGCACGAGCGGTAATCTAGAATTTTCTAATTAAAATTTATTTCAACGCCAAACTTGTTTAAGAAGTCAGGGGATTTGCTTATTTAAGGTGACTAGTGCCACCCAATGACACAAAAGATTTACGTTTTAAATCTCTTCCTCGGTATCTTCCAATTGTTTGATGAAGCTATTGTTACCTGATTCTATATAAAAATAACCAAATTCTTCTATACATATAATTATTGACAAAAAAAAATTCTTTTTGATAGTATACATTGGCGATAATTATTATTCTTGACATTTTGCTCCATTATAAGGTTAGTAGTGATTATGAGTTGTCTCGGTGAATTTGTGTTTTGTAATGTTGTTTAAGCGAAGGTTTGGTTTATTATTGCACATATTTATCTATAAATATAAAGTATTTAACTTAATGGCGTTATTACATTTATTTAACTGAGATATGTATCAATGTTTGTCAATACTTTTCAAGATTTCATTATTCAAATCTTCATTTTTGTGAAATTAGCATTCTTTATTTGATAAATTCATATTTTTAAAAAGCGTCTATGACAATTATTATTATTGCAAGATATTGTGTGATGATTATTTTATAATTATGTGGGTAATCCCGTAAAAATCTCTAAATTCTAATTGTATTCTTGATTCTTTACTTGTTAAAGAAATGGAAAAGAAAATTACAATAATTACACAAGGAACGGATCTTAAGAATTCAACAAAAAATACTAAGACCACTTCTGCAGAAACAAAGACAAATGGGAATGCAAAAAGTAGTGCATCCTCATCACGTTCTAGTCCAATTATTGGTTCGAAACGTTTGAGCGGATCTCCAGTGCCATTATATGATGATCCAACTGTTAATACTTCAGTTAATGCTTCAGTTAATGCTTCAGTTAATGCTTCAGTAACAGCCAGCAAAGAAGATTCTAAAAAAGCGACAAAAACTTTAAGTACTACGAAATCCACTGTAACAAAATCATCACAAAATATAAATTCTCCCTCAAAAAGGACATCACGGGTTATGTCCGTAATTCCCAAAGCATCTAAAACATCGCCTACACCGCCCTTCAAGTCACGCACTTTACCATTACCTACACAAAATGGATTGAAATTTAACTCAGAATCTTTTACTTCTGACCCAATCTCAACGATTTTTGAAGATAAAGCACAAAGGATATCCTCGTCAAACACTTTCTCAGAAGTGGACGCCTTAAAATCAGTTAGTGTCAAAACCACAATTGCCACTTTTGAAAAGAACACGACACAAGGTGGTAACTTTCCAGAATCAACTTGTGAAACTTCGCCAACATCAACAAGTCTTACTGTCACGGATACAAATTTAGAAGAAATGGATATGGATCAATTAGAACGATTGTTCCTTAGCGGATCACGATCTCCATCGATCGTATCAAATT